CATGTGGCACCACAACCACCTAATTTTTATATTTTTAGTAAGATGGGGTTTCATTATGTTGGCCAGGCTGGTCTTGAACTCCTGACCTCAGGTGATCCATCCACCTTGGCCTCCCAAAGTGCTGGGATTACAGGCATAAGCCACTGCACCCACACCCAGTCTTTTATTTTCCTTTTAGAGATAGGGTCTCGCTCTGCCATCTAGGTTGGAGGGCAGTAGCAAGATCATCGCTCACTGCAGCCTCAAACTTCTGGGCTCAAGAAATTCTCTCCCCCTAGCCTCCCAAAGTAGTCAGTTACTCTGCCAGTCCATTGAAGCGTTCTTAAAAAAAAAAATTTTTTTTTAGACCAGGCTGGAGTGCAGGACGTGATCTCACTGCAATCTCCATCTCCTGGTTCAAGTGATTCTTATACCTCAGTCTCCTGAGTAGCCAGGGTTACAGCCATGTGCCACCATGCCAGACTATTTTTGTATTTTTAGTATTGAAGAGCTTAACCATGTTAACCAGGTTCGTCTTGAACACCTGGCCTTAAGTGATCTGCCTGCCTCAGCCTCCCAAAGTGCTGGAATTACAGGCATAAACCACTGTGCCTGGCCTGAAGGGTTTTAAATCTGGGAGTGATAAATGATTGTGATCAGATAATGATGATTTAGATGAGGGTAAGAAAGAAGCCAAAACCCTGAAATATTTAAGGGTTATATGTACAGGAGATGTTAATTGACCAAATGAGCTGAGGGCAATAAGCTAGCTGGGAGGAGTTATCAGAGAGGTGTGCAGCTGGGGCTAACATGGGATTTATGGTCGTTTTACATCAAGGAGGGGTGGGTGGTCCCCACTGCTCTTAATTGTCAGCATGACTCTAGAGCAGGTGGCCACCATGGGTCCCCACCCTTCAGGGGATGCCTGGTCTCCTGTCCTTAGATTCACATTTCTCCAGGTGGGATCTGTGGATGTGTCACCTTAAAGGGTTCACCAGTTCTCTAGATGGATGTTTGGCTTTGGGTTTCCATTTTCATCACCAGTAGGGGCATCAGGGCCATCCAGACCTATACTGCTGAGTCTGTGTCTTTGTCACACCACATCCCACAGTGCAGTCAGCAAAACACCACCTGCCATTTTCAGTTAACACAGTCAGGTGGAATGTCATGGTTTTTACATTTATCTACTTTGGAAAACTGTTTAAGGTTAGGTATAAAAACAAAAGCAAAAAGAAGTGTTTTTTAATACCCAGTTTTATGTTTTACATAAATGATGTGATAAAAATGATTCAAGTTATTATCTTGGGGGGAGATGGGTCCATGAAGAATGTTTTCTTTCATAGGATGGGCTAGGCATGGTGGCTTATGCCTGTAATCCCTGCACTTTGGGAGGCTGAGGTGGGAGGTGGGAGTATCACTTGAGGCCAGGAGTACAAGACCAGCCTGGCCACCATATTGAAACCCTGTCTCTACTTAAAATACAAAAATTAGGCTGGGCATGGTGGCTTACACCTGTAATCCCAGCACTTTGGGAGGCTGAGGCAGGTGGATCACTTGAGGTCAGTAGCTCGAGACCAGCCTGGCCAACAGAACGAAACCCCGTGTCTACTAAAAATACAAAAATTAGCCTGGCTCAGTGGTGGGTGCCTGTAATCCCAGCTCCTTGGAAAGCTGAGGCAGGTAAATTGCTTGAACCCAGGAGGCAGAGATTGCAGTGAGCTGAGATTGCACCCCTGTACTCCATCCTGGGTGACAGAGCAACACTCTGTCTCAAAAAAATAAAATAAAATAAAATAAAATAAAATAAAAGAAGATAGTATATTTCTGAGGTTTGAGAAAGTGTCCCTGACAAAAAGTAATTCTAACAAGAGTATGACAAGTGGTTTGACAGAATAGGATGAGGTTCACTGGGAATACAAGCAGCAGCCCCAAACCTAGGCTGCAAATATCAGTTTGAACTCTATTCTGAGGGCAGGAGAGTATGCAAGTGCCTGACCCTATCAGATTTGGGATTTTGTGTTGAAAAGAATGGATTAAATGAACAAGGCTGAAGGCAGGGAGACCCGCAAAAAGGCTGTCTAGACACTCCTTGAGGGTAAGAATGTGTCTGGTTCCTCTCTGGGATCCCAACTCTGCCCAGCTCCATGCTGAGGAGGTACACTGTGAAACGCCATGCACTATTGGGCAACCAGGAGGGCCAGCCCAAAACTTTGTACCTTAGGCAGAAAGATGAATCTGAAAACAGTAGAAACACCCAATGTGTGCCAAACACCGAACATTAATATTTTTTTTTTTGTAGACAGGGTTTCACTCTTGTTGCCCAGGAGTACAATGGTTCGATCTCAGCTCACAACTTCCACCTCCCAGGTTCAAGTAATTCTCCTGCCTCAGCCTCCTGAATAGCTCAGACTATAAGCATGCGCCACCACACCGGGCTAATTTTGTATTTTAGTAGGTATGGGGTTTCTCCATGTTGGTCAGGCTGGTCTCCAACTCCCAACCTCAGATGGTCCACCTACCTCGGCCTCCCAAAGTGCTGGGATTATAGGTGTGAGCCACCTCACCTGTCCTTTTTTTGCTTTGAGATGAAGTCTCTCTCTGCCGCCCAGGCTGGAGAGCCATGGTGCCATCTCAGCTTACTGCAACCTCTGCCTCCCAGGTTTAAGCAATTCTATGCCTCAGCCTCCCAAGTAGCTGGGATTACAGGCATCCGCCACCACATCTGGCTGATTTTTTTTTTTTTTTTTTTTTTTTGAGACGGAGTTTTGCTCTTGTTACCCAGGCTGGAGTACAATGGCACAATCTCGGCTCACCGCATCCTTTGCCTCCTGGCTGCAGGCAATTCTCCTGCCTCAGCCTCCTGAGTAGCTAGGATTACAGACACGCGCCACCATGCCCAGCTAATTTTTTGTATTTTTAGTAGAGACAGGGTTTCACCATGTTGACCAAGATGGTCTTGATCTCTTGACCTCGTGATCCACCTGCCTCAGCCTCCCAAAGTGCTGGGATTACAGGTGTGAGCCACCACGCCCGGCCTCTGGCTGATTTTTGTATGCTTAGTAGGGATGGGGTTTCACCATCTTGGCCAGGCTGGTCTTGAACTCCTGACCTCATGATCCACCTGCTTAGGCTGCCCAAAGTGCTGGGATTATAGGCATGAGCCACTGGGCCAGATCTTTCTTCTGAGACAAAGTCTCATTCTGTCGCTCATGCTGGAGTGCAGTGGTTCAATAACAGCTCACTGCAGCCTCCACCTCCAGGGATCAAGAGATCCTCCCACTTTAGCCCCCCAAGCAGCTGAGACTACAGGTATGTACCACCATGCCTGGCTAATTTTTTTGTTTTGTACAGATGCGGTCTCCCTATGTTGCCCAGGCTGGTCTCAAACTCCTGGGTGCATGTGATCCTCCTGCCTAGGTCTCCCAAAGTGCTGAGATTACAGGTGTGAGCCACTGTGCAGGGTCCCAGTGAGCCTTGAATTCTTCTCATCCCTTCCTCCCTACACTCTTAAAAATGCTACAGTCACCTCCCTTTTTTTTCAGACGAGGGAATAATGAGGCTCAGAGAGAAGGCAGTGACTTGGCCAAGGTCCAGGCCTCCTCTTGTGGAGAAGATGGAATCTGAGTCAGGATCTGTAACTTTAGAGCCTTTCTCATACAGATATTCGGATTAACCACTGCCCAGAGAGTATAAAGTCAGGTGACCGGAGTTCTGAGGGCTGAAATACTTACCATGTCTCTACATGGAGGAAAGAGAGGAGCTGGGAAGAAGTGGGAGGTTCAGAGTGGGATAAGGGAAGGAGGGGGAGACAGCACCGAAGGAGTAACAGGCTATGAAAGGACAGAGGGGGAAAGAGAAACAGGAGGGCTTGGGGGAGAGGTTTGGCAGGCTCCAGAAGGGAGCAGTGGGGGCCAGCAGAGCAGGGCTGGGCCTCTGGTGTTAGGCTAAGGACCTATAGTGTGTCTCCAAGAAGGGGAGAGGTGTCGCCAGGCGCGGTGGCTCAAGCCTGTAATCCCAGTACTTTGGGAGGCCGAGGCGGGTGGATCACGAGGTTGAGACATCGAGACCATCCTGGTCAACATGGTGAAACGCCGTCTCTACTAAAAATACAAAAAATTAGCTGGGCATGGTGGCACGTGCCTGTAATCCCAGCTACTCAGGAGGCTGAGGCAGGAGAATTGTTGATCCCAGGAGGCGGAGGTTGCGGTGAGCCAAGATCGCGCCATGGCACTCCAGCCTGGGTAACAAGAGTGAAACTCCGTCTCAAAAAAAAAAAAAAAAGAAGGGGAGAGGCAAACTGGAGGCAAAGCAATGGTGGTCCAGGGTTCCCGCCTCAGTACCAGGAAAGGAGAACAAAGACACCTGCGGGTCAGCAACAGGCGCAATTCAAAGGGGACAATACTTTGCACTCTGACAAAAAGGGGATAAGGCTATCTTTTGAGTGTGTTCATGTGTATGGCTTCCAAAGCACTTTCATATCCAGTTCTGAATCTATTCCTTAAAACAGTTCCACCAGGCAGGGGAGGATTCTGTGCCCCCTTCCCCTTTACAGATGAGGAAATCAAGACGTGAAGCAGAACTGGGTTATAAATGCAGAACCTCCGACTCTGCCCCTTTCTTGAACTGTGATTCTGCCTCATCTCTTAACCACACTGCAAATCATAGTTGCCCCTTGCAACCAAGTCCTCGTCCAATACTGCTTTGGGGCTGGGGGCCAAATCTTAGACTCTTGATGCCTTCTCATCTTCCCTTGGGCTCCAAAGTTAATGATGACACCTAGACTTTGACATTTAATTCCCTGCCTCTTCAGAACTCTCCAAAGTCTGAAATTGACCTCAGTGACCCTATTTCATTGTCTTCTTTTAAGACACGGAGAGTGGATATTCTCCCTAACCCAAGAAGAAACTGAAGCCCAGACAGCAGAAGTGACTGGCCTAAGACTTAGTGAGTCAGTGACACAGCTGGGATAAGACTAGAACCCAGGTCCTTCTGCTACCCCCTCATCCAGATCCCCTCCTTACCTGCAGCACTGACAAGTTGGTCTGTCCAGAAAGGCTCAGCTTCTCCTGCTCTGAGGGATAGGCGTTGTAGCGGTGCAAGTACAGCCAGTCTCGGAGGATCTTCACTGACTCCTTGGGCAGGTTTCCCCTGCGCTTCCTTTTGCCCGACAGGGAGAGGAGGCCTTCGTCCTCACCTAGATCACTGTCTGACATGGTGTCTAGGGCTAGGCTGGACCTTGGGTAAGCCTGGGACAAGTGACACAGGATGGGAACATCATTAGTATGCAGTACCTTTCCTAGTCTCCAAACACGCTCAGCATTACCCGAGCCTGGGACACCAGAAATGGGATAGGTGCAGTTCAGCATCTCAGGCCATACCACAGCCAGAGCAAGCTAGAAGGAATGGGTTCAAAGTTCCTCCATTTCGTGGAACAGTAAGTGACTACCAAATGGCAGTTCATTCACAAGCAGGACTTGGACTGGAAATAATCACAGATTTCACTGAGGTCTACTGTTTTCCATGTTTGGTACTGAGCATTTTTTCTTTCTTTCTTTTTTTTTTTTTTTTGACAGGGTTTCACCATGTTGCTCAGGCTGTTCTTGAACTCCCGACCTCAGTTGGTCGGTCCGCCTTGGCCTCCAAAGCGCTTGGATTACAGGCGTGAGCCACCACAACCGGCCTAAGCATTTTTTCTTTCTTTCTTTCTTTTTTTTTTTTAGACGGAGTCTTGAACTGTCGCCCAGGCTAGAGTGTAATGGTGCGATCTCGGTTCACCACACCTCTGCCTCAAAGGTTGAAGCGATTCTCCTGCCTCAGCCTCCCATGTAGGTGGAATTACAGGCACCCACCACCATGCCCAGCTAGTTTTTTGTATTTTTAGTAGACACAGGGTTTCATTATGTTGGCCAGGCTGGTCTCAAATTCCTGACCTCGTAATCCACTCACCTTGGCCTCCCAAAGTGCTGGGATTACAGGTGTGAGCCACCATGCCTTTTTTTTGGAGACGGTGCAGTGGTGCCATCTCAACTCACTTCAACCTCTGCCTCCTGGGTTCAAGCGATTCTCCCACCTCAACCTCCAAGCAGCTGGGATTATAGGCATGCACCACTGTACCTGGCTAATTTTCTGTATTTTTTGGTAGAGACGGGGTTTCACCTGACCATGGCCAGGATGGTCTAGAACTCCTGGCCTCAAGTGATCTGTTGGCCTCAGCCATCCAAAGTGCTGGGATTACAGGTGTGAGCTACTGTGCCCAGCCTGTACTGAGCATTTTACATGTTATCTCATTTAATCATTATAAGTCCTCAATAAGGGAGAAGCTATTATTATCATCATTTCATAGATGAGGTAACAGAAAGAGATTAAGAAAGCTGAGGCCGGGCACGGTGGCTCAAGCCTGTAATCCCAGCACTTTGGGAGGCCGAGGTGGGTGGATCACGAGGTCAAGAGATCGAGACCATCCTGGTCAACATGGTGAAACCCCGTCTCTACTAAAAATACAAAAAATTAGCTGGGCATGGTGGCACATGCCTATAATCCCAGCTACTCAGGAGGCTGAGGCAGGAGAATTGCCTGAACCCGGGAGGCGGAGGTTGCAGTGAGCCGAGATTGTGTCATTGCACTCCAGCCTGGGTAACAAGAGTGAAACTCCATCTCCAAAAAAAAAAAAAAAAAAAAAAGAGAGAGAGAGAGAGAGAGATTAAGAAAGCTGCCCAAGGCCAGCACAGTGGCTCACAGTGGCTCACAAAAAAAATACAAAAATCAGCCAGGTGTTGAGGTGTTTACCTGTAGGCCCACCTACTTGTGGACTGAGGCAGAACTGCTTGAGCCTAGGAGGTCAAGGCTGCAGTGAATTGTGTTTGTGCCACTCCACTCCAGCCTGGGTGACAAAGTGAAACTCTGTTTCAAAAAAAGAAAGCTGGGCATGGTGGCATGCGGCTGTAATCCCAGCTATTCAGGAGGCTGAGGCAGGAGAATTCCTTGAACCCAGGAGATGGAGGTTGCATTGAGCCAGGACTGTGCCACTGCACTCCAGCCTGGGCAACAAGAGCCAAACTCCATCTTAAAAAAAAAAAAATCTTGACACATGCTACAACATAGATAGTCCTTGAAAGCATTATGCTAAGGGAAAAATGCTAGTCATAAGAGACTACATGTTATATAATTCCATGGATCATTAACTCTATAGGGGCAGGATAGATTAGTTAACTAACAGCTCCGCAGTTAGGGCTGAGAGGTAGAAGGATGAGTGGTAGCTAAAGTGTATGGAGTTTCTTTCTGAAGGTGCAAAAACATCCTGGGCCAGGTGTGGTGGCTCATGCCTGTAATCCAAATGCTTTGGGAGGTTAAGGCAGGAAGATCCTTTGAGGCCAGGAGTTCAAGACCAGCCTGGGCAACATACTAAGACCCTTTCTCGCCATGCATGGTGGCTCACGCCTGTAATCCCAGTACTTTGGGAGGCCAAGGAGGGCGGATCATCTGAGGTTGGGAGTTCGAGACCAGCCTGACCAACATGGAGAAACCCTACCTCTTTAAAAAAATAATTTGTAAAAAGACCCTTTCTCTACACAAAATAAAAATTAGGGCTGGGTGTGGTGGCTCACGCCTGTAATCCCAGCACTTTGGGAGGCTGAGGTGGGTGGATCACCTGAGGTCAGAGTTCGAGAGCAACCTGGCCAAGATGGTGAAGCCCCGTCTCTACTAAAAAAAAAAAAAAAAAAGAAAGAAAAAAAATAGTAATAATAAAAATGCCAAATGCTGTGGCTCACATCTGTACTCCTAGCACTTTGGGAGGCCACGCTCCCCTCTTCACCTGTCAAATGAAGGAAGGATTTTCCCTAGATAACCCAACTCAGCTGCTCAGGCCCCGGACAAAGTTCGGTCTCACACATGCAAAAATTTTCTTTTCTTTTTTTTTTGAGATGGGAGTCTTGGTCCATCGCCCAGGCTGGGGTGCAGTGGTGCGAGCTCGGCTCACTGCAACCTGTCTCCCGGCTTAGAGCAATTCTCCTGCCTCAGCCTCCCAAATAGCTGGGACTACAGGCGTGCGCCACCACACCCAGCTAGGGGTGTGTGCGTGTGTGTGTGTGTGTGTGTGTATTTTTAGTAAAGATGGGGTTTTGCCATGTTGGCCAGACTGGTTTTGAACTCCTGACTTCAGGTGATCCGCCTGCCTTGGCCTCCCAAAGTGCTGGGATTATAGATGTAAGCCACCTTGCCTGGCTAGATTTTCATTTTAAAAGCAAAAGTTCTAGGCCAGGCTGATGCCAGGATCTCAAGGCTCCTCCCTTCTCAGCCTTTTAACAGCTCCCCAGCAGGCCAGCCAACAGACTCTGGCATCTCCCAGGTTTTGTTTCCTCTTCTTGGACCTAAGCCCAGATCTCTGGGCTGGCTAGGCCAGGCTTTCGAGGGAAGGGTCTACCCTTTCAGCCAGGCCACCTGGAGGTGAGACAGGCACTGGTTAGAGGTGCCACTCCTCAGAGAGCACCACCAGCAGGCTGCTTTCTGAGGTCAGACATTTCTAGGTGGCCAGGGCAGCTGGGATCTGGGCTCAGGGATGCAGCACTCGCCGGCTGTGAAAAGTTTACTCAAGGTTATCTGTACAAATTCCACCCTGGCTGCCAGCCAAGTCTGTCTGCAGGGTTCTTCGGGTGGGCCCTGGGGAAATGACCCCTCAGTCTACACAGACTTCTCCTGGGTGTCCTGCATCCCAGGCCCATCTGGGAGATTTCCCATATATACACCCACACCGCACCCAGACACACGCCAGGCAACTAACCAACAGCGCTATGATAACTGGCCTGACCCATCGCTCAAGCCCTACAAACTCTAGGGTTTTCACCGACACATACAGCGGGCACACACACAGCTTATAGACCGCACGCCTAGCCCGAACAACTGTGACCCACGCCAACAAGCCCAACTTCTGTATCCGCCCACACCGATCTCTCCGACAGGAAAAACTCCGGGCGTCATCACTCTAGCAATCAGTTCTACCTTCAGTGGCCTGTGGCAGCACCCCCTCGATACAATATCCCATGCACCCTCCTACACACTCCCACGACGCCACCTGCAGCCACTCCCGCACCAACTTTCTGACAACTCCCCTAGCTCGGCCCCGACACTCCCCCGGGCGGCGCACTCACGCCCGCATTCCCAGCAGTTCAGACAAAGCGCGCAACCTCTCCCGCGGCCCAGACCGAGTCGGAGCACATGGCTCCCCGGGCGGCGAGGAATCGGCCGGCGCTCTGGGCGCCTGCACCCCCTCAGCCCCTCACCCCCACCCCAGGCCGACTCCGCGCACCAGCTCCCTCGTGGGCCCACCATCCCGGTGGGGCGGGGGCTCTCGAAGAAAGAAACTCACGTGTCTGTCCCGGGGCAGTAAAAAAGTTTGGTTCCCACCCCCTTCCCCCGCAGCTTGAGGCTGGCAGACTCTTCGGGGCGCGGGGCCGGCCGAGCGTGCGCGCTCGGCTTTGTGCTCCGAACTCGGCCCAGAGGGGGAGGGGAGGGGAGAGAAGGGGAGGGGGCTGGGCTCCCACCTCCGCGCCGCCCCCCACCCCCGGCCTTGCGCCCAGACTCCATGTTGGCCGCCCCCTGCCCCCAAGACTGAGCGTTTCTCCTGCTGGAGGCTCCGCTCACCCCTGGCCTGCCCGAGGGTCCCGGCGCGAACAAACTTTCTCCGGGGCGCCGGCCCCACGCGCCCCGCTTCCTTGGCCCGCCTGGGAGTGACAGATGCCTCGGAGACAGACTTTCCTTTGTTCCAAAGGAAAGGGGAACTCGCGCGGGCTCCCCAGGGCCCCCCCGCTCCCAGCCCTTCCCGCGGCCCCCACCCCCAGCTGTCACTCTTGGCCGCCCCCTCCCTGGCTCCGAGGCGTGGGGGGGGGCCCTACCGGCGGTTAGCAACGTGCACTTTTGAAACCAAACAAATCCGCCCCCCCGCGCGCTCACTCAAGTCTGGCGCAGGAGCGGCCCTCTCCCGGGGTGGGATCCTAGGGAGCTGGGCCCCCACCAGGACCCCGAGCGGGCTTCCTCCCGGGGGCTGGAACCGCAGCGCCGTCGGGACTCACAAACACCTCTCGGGGGCCGTCGAGACTCACAAACACCTCCGAGCTCACACACCCCCAACCGCAAGCGCCAGGACGACGCCCCCCTCCCCCGCCCGACTGAGAGAAAGAAACTTTTCAAGTTGTCCGCGCGCCCCCACCCCCATCTGGCCCCCTCTTGCTCCCGGCACTGACTTTTCCGAGCGGCTTTCGGGTCCACGCGGCCTAGGGCTCCGCGCTGGACGTCCCGGCGGGGGGCAGGGGGCGCCGGGGGCGCGCGCAGCGTACCTGCCCGGCCTGACACTCGGCCTGACAGCTCGCGGCTGGAAAGCACCTCGCGGCCTGACGTCAGATCCCCTCTCCTCCCCCCGCGCCCTCCGTGCCCTCCCCCACCCGCCCTGAGGGAGAAAACAAACTTTGTGCGGAGCGCGGCGAGCTGCGCCCACCCCCTGAGGGGCGGGCCGACGGCGCCGAGGGGCTTCGCCCCGCCCAGCGCGCCCGGAGGGGGCGGGGCCGCGGGCACCTTCTTCCTGCGCCCACCCCGCCCTCAGGAATGCTGCCTGGCCTCCCCCGAGCGGCGGTGGGAGCCTCGGCCCGGGAGAGCCCGCTCGGGGGCAGGAAGTGGCTGGGCCCTCCTTGTGGAGGGCGTTTCCGGAGCGCCTACTGTGCTCCTCGCCGGGGTGGGGGTCGTTACCGAAGGGGGAACTCCTGGAAATTCTAACTTTTGTCAGTTCGCGCCCCGCACCGACGTCCTGCGGTCTTTTCGATTGCTCTGATTGCCTCGAGGGGAAACTGAGGCCAGTTAGTCCGGGCACTTAACCGCAGGTGATAAAGGACTGGGTTGTGATGGGGACGCCTGTTATGCCCTCAAGGGCCTGTAGAGTCTGGGAGGCCGCCTTCCGACCTGAGCTCAAAAAGCACGTTTGGGCTCACAGCGGGGCTGCCAGAGGTGAAAACAGCCAACGCTTTCAACGATGCTGTAAGGGGCACTTCGTGTGTCATCCCGTCTCATCCTCGGTTGATGGGGTAGGTGCTGTCCTATGTAAGTCTCTGGCTCACTCAGCCTCAGAGAGGGTCTTGATTTGCTTTTGTCACACAGTCAGCCGGTGTTATTTAGGCCAGGTCGGTCGATAGTGAAGCCTGATCTCTTACCCCTCGTGCCCGGCCTTAGACCATCAGTCGAGGAGCTCCCCGAGTTACTGTCTGGTTTCTTTTTCCTCTTCTGCGGGTTACAGCCTACTCCAGATGGTTTTCCTTGGCCTCCCCAGCCCCGGTCAGCACACTCTTACTCCGCTGTCTGCTGTGGGTACCACATACTGTGAAATACCTGTTAACCAACTTCCCTAGGGCATCCCCCCACACCCCCCAGCCCTCTAACTGGACAGGCCTAGGCCTGTATATCTAGGGCCCTTGAGCTTGGAAATTGCCTTGAAAACAGCTTTTGGTCTTAATTGCCCTTTAGCAATGGAGAACTGTGGAAACAAAACTCTTAATTTTTTTTCCAAACAGGCCCTAAGCCAATCAGAATGCTGATTAAAGGATTGTTAAGGTTTCACCTGGATACCCCATCGAAACCAGACTTCCTGCAAATGGTAAAAACCTCACAGCAGCAGGTGAGATGTCAGTGGCACTGCCCATTGCTCTTCATTTCACAGACAGGGAAACTGAGGCCCAGAGTGTGGGTCAGAAACAATTTTTTGGCCAAATAAATGGTGCTTCCTCCACTGACTTCTGAAAGAAAAAGCCAAGTCTGGGTTGTCTTCAGTAAGAAATGTAAAACCCATGGGCCTTAGCTTCTAGGAAATGTATGGGACAGGAACCTTCAGAAGAGGGGAGCTACAAGGGGAATCAGGTGAGCCTGGAGAGGGGACTCTGGCAGTGGGACACTGAGCTTGAACTCCAAACTAGGCATTTTCTCCTGTGTGCCTGAGACCCACAGTCTGCCGTTTTTGGGGAAGTCACTGGGGGCCTGGGCTAGAGGCAGAGGCCTCACCCGAAAATTGTGCCTGCAGCAGCCCCTTCGACCAGTGCTTCCCAAGTCTCGTGCTAAATGAGGTTGGGGAAATGGAAAGGAGTGACTGCCTCCTCCTCCACCTAAGAGCTGCATAACAAAAAAACCTGTAGCCCCTCCAGATTGCCTCCTGGAGGATGGGGTAGGGGTGGAGGGAGGCTGGGGGCCGGTCAGATTTTGCACATAAGCAAGCTTTACCGGTAAAGCCTAAGGGCAATTAGAGTTTGAGAATCACTGTGTAAAGTTTCTCAACTAGTAAGTATCAGAATTTAAAATGTGTGGATTCTCTAAGCTAGTAATTCCACTTCTAGGAGTCTATCTTTAGAAGTAGCTGTACAGGCCCCGCACGTGGTGGCTAATGCCTGTAATCTCAGCACTTTGGGAGGTGGGTGGATCACCTGAGGTCAGGAATTTGAGACCAGCCTGGTCAACATGGTGAAACCCTGTCTCTAAAAACAAAACAAAACAAAAAGAAGTAGCTGTTCAACAAAGATAAATGCTTATAGATTATTGTTCTTTGCAGAACTGTTCGGGGAAATTGCAAACAGCTAAATACCCCTCACCAGGAGCTGGTTCCTTATAGCAACTCTGAGACTTCTACTGCAGGCTTTTAAAATGGGGTAAGTCTCTATGTGCCAATCTAGGGGCATGGCCAAGGTATATTTATTGACAGCTTACAGTGTCTCAACAAGGAGGGACTTTGGACATACTTGAGAACTTTTGTGGGAAAATTTCTTCCAAGTGATATTTTGCTGCCATTTTTCTCTCCCATCATTTTTTTTTTTTTTTTTTTTTGAGACAGAGTCTTGGTTTGTCACCCAGACTGAAGTGCAGTGCAGTGACAGGATCTCAGCTCACTGCAACCTCTGCCTCCCAGTTTCAAGTGATTCTCCTGCCTCAGCCTCCCGAGTAACTGGGACTAAAGGTGCCCACTGTCATGCCTGGCTAATTTTTGTGTTTTTAGTAGCGACAGAGTTTCACCATGTTGGCCAGGCTGGTCTCCTGACCTCAACTGATCCACCCACCTCAGCCTTCCAAAGTATTGGAATTACAAGTGTGAGGGTTTTTTTGTTTTGTTTTGTTTGTTTGTTTGTTTGTTTGTTTGTTTTGAGATGGAGTTTTGCTTTTGTTGCCTAGGCTGGAATGCAGGGGTGCGATCTCGGCTCACTGCACCCTCCGCCTCCCAGGTTCAGGCGATTCTCCTGCTTCAGCTTCCTGTGATTACAGGCATGTGCCACCATGCCCAGCTAATTTTGTATTTTCAGTACAGACGAAGTTTCACCATGTTGGCCAGGTTGGTTTCAAACTCCTGACTTTAGGTGATCCATCTGCTTCGGCCTCCCAAAGTGCTGGGATTACAGGGGTGAGCCACCTTCCTGGCCACTGCTCTCTTTTTGATGGAAGTGAGGAAAGGCACCAGCATTCACTGAGAGTGCATATGAGCCAAGTCGAGTCTTAGGATAAAGGAGAAGATGGGGTTCTGTGAGGTAGAGGGAAGAGTCCAGCAAAAGCCTGGGAAAGTGAAGGTGACTAATTTAGGAAACAACTGGATTGGGTGAGATGGAAGGGCCAAGAAGGCCAGGGTGAAGAATTTGGATTTGGCAGTGTGGGCAGTAGAGTCCCAGCAGGTTCCTGCTGAATGTTGGGAAGAGACTGGAGGGAGGGTAGGCGGTGACTCAGCTCTGGGTAACTGAGACCAAGTGGATGGAGACCTGCCTCTGAGAGCTAAGAGATTTGTGGCTGTTATATGAGGTTCTGCATTTTCATCTAATGTTGATAGGTGGAATTCTACATCTTCCTCCTGAAAAGTCTTGTTATCTTGTTGGTCAGCACAATTTGCCTAACTTTCTCCTAGTTGTTGGGTATTTACTCACTTAACTAATATCTGAGTGCCTACTTATGTCTGGCTGTGTGCCTAAGGCTTCACAGCTGAGCTTATCCTGAAGGCGTTGGATGACAGTATTTTGTGGTAAAGAGTCGGTGGCACTGGGACTTGGTTAGTAGCCAGGTGATTTAGGCAAATCATCCACACCTTCTGAACCTCCGTTTTCTCATGTTGTGGAAATATAAGGGTTTGGCGAGAGTCAAAGAAAATAGGCACACCCCTTCGTTTTATTATGCCTTGCTTTTTTGTGCTTTGCAGATACTGCGTTTCTCACCAATTGAAGGGTTTGGGCAACTCTGCGTTGAGCAGAGTCTCCCGGCATCATTTTTCCAAAAGCATGCTCAGTCTGTGTCTCTGTGCCACATTTTGGTAATTCTTAACAATATTTCAAAGTTTGTTGTTGTTATATCTAATATGGCGATCTGAGCTCAATAATCTTTGATGTCACTATTGTAATTGTTTTGAGGCACCATGAATGGTGCCTGTGTAAGACGGCAAACTTAATCCATCAATATTGTATGCATTCTAACTGTTCCACCAACTAGCTGTTTGCAGTTAGTAATCCTACAATAGCCTCTAAGTGTTCAAATGTAAGGAAGAGTTGCAAATCTCCCACTTCACATCAAGGGCTAGAAATAATTAAGCTCAGTGAGAAAGGCATGTTGAAAGACAAGATAAGCCTTTTTTTTTTTTTTTTTTAAGTTTTTAGTAGATTGGGGTCTCGCTATGTTGTCCAGGCTGGCTTCCAACTCCTAGGCTCAAGTGATCCTCCTGCCTTGGCCTCCTAAAGTATTGGGATTAAAGGCTTGCCCTGCCTCTGGTGAAGCACTTTTAATTTTCCTCAAGAACTATTGGCTAGGTGTGGTGGCTCACACCTGTAATCCCAGCACTTTGGGAGGCGGAGTCGGGTGGATCACCTGAGGTCAGGAATTCAAGACCAGCCTGGCCAACATGGTGAAACCCTGTCTCTATAAAAATACAAAAATTAACCGGGCATGACAGCAGGCACCTGTAATCCCAGCTACCCGGGAGGCTGAGGCAGGAGAATCGCTTGAATATGGAAGGTGGAGGTTGCAGTGAACTGAGATCACGCCACTGCACTCCAGACTGGGCGACAGAGCAAGACTCCATTTCAGAACAAACAAAAACTATCTTGGTAGGTGTGGTGGCTCATGCCTGTGATCTCAACACTTTGGGAGGCCAAGGTGGGAAGGTCTCTTGAACCCAGGAGTTTGAGGCCAGCCTGAGCAACATAGCAAGACCCCATCTCTGCAAAACATAATCAGCTGGGCATGGTGGTGAATGTCTGTAGTCCCAGCTACTCGGGAGGCTGAGGTGGAGGAAGGCTTGAGCTCAGGAGTTTGAGGCTGCAGTGAGGTATAACTGTGCCACTGCACTCCAGCCTGGGTGAAAGAGTGAGAACCTGTTTCAAAAATTGGCCAGGTATGGTGGCTTATGCCTGTAATCTCAGCATTTTGGGAGGCCAAGGTGGGCAGATCACTTAAGTTTAGGAGTTTGAGACCACACTGGCCAACATGGTGAAAGCTCATCTCTACTAAAAAACACACACACACAAAACCCCCAAACAAACAAAATACAAATATAAATAAGTAATTTAAAAGGTGCTATTCCAGTGAACACAGGAATGATAAGAAAGGGAACAGCCTTATTGCTGATATGGAGAAAGTTTCAGTGGTCTGGATAGAAGATCAAACCAACCACAACATTCCCTTAAATGAAAACCTAATCCAGAGCAAAGCCCTAACTGTCTTCCATTCTCTGAAGGCTGAGAGAGGTGAGGGAGCTGCTGAAGAAAAGTTGGAAGCTGTTAGACATTGGTTCAGTTTTAAGGAAGGACACAGTCTCCATAACCAGTTTTCACCTTGCAATCCATGAAAGTCCAAGGGGAAGCAGCAAGTGTGATGAAGAAGTAGCAGTAAGTTCAACGGAAGATCTAACTAAGATCATTGATGAAGATGACCTCACCAAACAATAGCTTTCCAGTGCAGATGAAACAACGGCCTTCTGTTGGAAGAAGATGCTATCTAGGACTTTCACAGTTAGAGAGAAGTCAATGCCTGGCTTCAAATGACAGGCTGACCCTCTTGTTAGGGGCTAATGTAGCTGGTGACTTTAAGTTGAAGCTAGTGCTCACTCACTATTCCAAAAATCCTAGGGCCCTTAAGAATGATTCTAAATCACTCTGCCTGTGCTCTAGAAATGGAAGACACTTTTATACAACAAAGCCGGGATAACAGCACCTCTGTTATAGCGTAGTGTACTGAATTTTTCTTTTCTTTTTTGTTTTTTTTTTTTTTTCAAGATGGAGTTTCACTCTTGTTGCCCAGGCTGGAGTGCAATGGTGCGATCTTGGCTCACTGCCATCTCTGCTCCCAGGTTCAAGCGATTATCCTGCCTCAGTCTCCCCAGTAGCTGGGATTACAGGAATGTGCCACTACACCTGGCTAATTTTGTATTTTTGGTAGAGACGGGGTTTCTCCATGTTGGTCAGACTGCTCTCGAACTCCAGGCCTCTTTGGGAGGCCGACACTGGTGGATCATCTAATTTTGTATTTTTAGTAGAGACAGGGTTTCTCCATGTTGGTCAGGCTGGTCTTGAACTCCTGTCCTCAGGTGATCTGCCCGCCTCGGCCTCTCAAAGTGCTGGGATTACAGGCTCCAGCCACTGCACCCGGCTGAGATTGTTTCTTTGTCTGTGAACACACTGTCTATTCTTCAGCCCATGGATCAAGGTGTAATTTCAACTTTCAATTCTTATATTTAAGAAATAAATTTTGGCCGGGCTTGGTGGCTCATGCCTGTAATCCCAGTACTTTGGGAGGCTGAAGAGGGTGGATCACGAGGTCAGGAGTTCAAGACCAGCCTGGCTAATATGGCAAAACCCCATCTCTACTAGAAATACAAAAATTAGCTGGGTGTGGTGGTACACACCTGTATTCCTAGCTACTCGGGAGGCTGAGGCAGAAGAATCGATTGAACCCAGGAGACGGAGGTTGCAGTGAGCCGAGATCGTGTCACTGCACTCTAGCCTGGATGACAGAGTGAGACTCCATCTCAAAAAAAAAAAAAAGAAATTTCATAAGGCTATAGCTGCCATAGATAGTAATTTCTCTGATGGATCTGGACAAAGTAAATTGAAAACCTATAAAGAATTCACCAAATTAGATGCCATTAACATTTATGATTCTTGGAGGAGATAAAAATATCAGTATTAACAGGAGTTTGGATAAAGCTGACTCTAACCCTCATGAATGACTTTGAGGGGTTCAAGACTTCAGTGGAGGAATTAACTTTGGATGTGGTGGAAATAACAAGAGAACTGAATCACAAGTGGAGCCTGTAGGTGTAACTGAATTGCTGCAATCTCACGATCAAACTTGACTGGATGAGGACTTGTTTCTTAAAGAACGTGGTTTCTTGAGATGTAATCTATTCCTGATGAAGATACTGTGAACATTGTTAAAATGACATTAAAGGATTTATAATATTAAGTAAACGTAGGTGATATAGCAGTGGCACAATTTTAGACTATTGACTCTAACTGTGAAAGAAATTTCACTATAGGTAAAATGCCATTAAATGGCATCACATGCTATAGAGAAATCTTTTGCGAAAGCAAGAGTCTATTGATGTGGCAAACTTCGTCTCATTATAAGAAACTGCCACAGCCTTCTCAGCCTTCAGCAACCACCACCCTAATCAGTCAGT